TATAGTGCAACGAATGGTAAAAATCACTGACGATGCCGACTACGATGCCGGCGAAACGTCTGTGAATGTACCACGTCCACGGTCCGACTTTGGAAATGATTATGCATACAATTGACTCCGGACAAGGTGCGTTCCTTTAAGTCTTCCTACCAATATGGCCAAGTTGCGAAAACAAGGTCAAACAACTTCTATACACAGTCTCTTCTTGTTGTATAACCAGGAAAATCACACGTTTGACTTTGCCTCATCTTTAAAAAGGAACTTCTCTGGGTCCTATTTGTTTATTTCAATAATCGAATAGACGATGGGCAGCAAATCGGTTGGAATAAAGCCCTACACTGCGTTATCTAGTGTTGCTTTTGCATATATTGCCGTCCTGATTATTGCTCTTTCTTTGACAAACACAACCAGCTTGTCAGGTGGCAACCGAGTGTCCTGATCCGATATGCAACCAACTAAGAGCCACCAAGTGCAGAACCTATTCGAAACAGCCGACGAGAGACTCGCTTTCAGGCATCTCCGAACTTCAGAATGGCACAGGAGAAATCAGGTGAGTATTGAAAGGCTTTTGCTCGGCACCTGCACATTGAACCACAATTGCTTGTCCGTCGGTCAACCGGTAGCTTCCGTTCACAAACATGGCATAGACAAAAAATGCAAAATCTGCTCCCTCCCACATGCGCCAATCATGAGCCAGTGCTCACGGCAGATTTGCAATCCCATGCCTCCAGGCAAACTACAACCTGCAGTTTGATTGTGAAATTATGCAAATACGCCGACAGGCTGATAAATCGGAAGCGGAAGACGATGTTGACTTTCATCACATGCTACTACTCAGTCGAGACGGAATCCAGATCTGCAATAGCTCAGAGGCCTGATTCAGCCAGGGTCAACTCAAATTATGGCTGGACGAGAATGCTCCTCCAGAGGAGGCATCCGGAATTGCCAACTTTTCATGCGATTCAACCTGTCGGCAACTCCACAAATGATGCGTCCAGCGGTCACCATGACGCCTTTCAGCTCACTTGAGCCGCCTTCGTTCCGAATTTTCAGGCGGCATTGCTAATTTTCATCTTCATGCCACTAGACACGAGGCATACTTTGACCAGCACATGCCCACATCCTTACCCACACCTATGCCCACATCCATGCACACACCCCTTTATTCACTTGCATACACATAAACTTACTTCCCCAAGCTCAGAGACAGAATTGCACCCACAAACTATTATTGCTCAAAAGCACTGTTCACTTTCCTTCTTACCATCCTCTTTAAACTTCTACTATGAGAAACACATGAACCAGTGCTAAAACTTTAGCATTCAGAAGCCTAAAACCTTATTTTAGATCCGGTTGTGTTAATACGAACATTTGCTCTTCTGCCCACTTACACGTTAGGCTCGCTTATCATTTTCTCATTAGATGTCTCAGCTTGATGAGTAGGTCCACCTGAATATACTCGAGTATCTCCGAGTCGACTGGTCAATGGCGCTCCTTGCAGGTCCATCGACTTGAGACAGCCTCTGACCCCTCACATGTCTGAGCCCCCCTGTGCCCTCTTGGCAACATCGGCCTGTATGTGCTACACCGTCCTCTCCACACCCTGAGCAACAGCTTTGTCTGAATTGACGGGAATACGTATGCATTAGTTGACTTTTATTGAATTGAGATGACCAAGATGATGTGACTTATGGTTCGGTCGAGGTCGCAGTCTCAGTCTCAATCACTTCTATAGTCCAGGTTTGACCTCGCTTTCGCAAATTCGCAAGGTTGTTAAGGCGACACAGAAGAATGCTCCCACTAATGACACTGCTGTCATTGTTGTTATGCCT